GGGGAATCAAACCTGGTTCTCCCAGATTAGAGTCCGTGCACTTAACCACTACACCAAACTGGCTCTCAGGTCCCGCAAGGCCCTGATCTCAAATGGGGACATGTCCCACCAAATAGGGGCCAGGAAAGAAAAGGCCTTGGCTCCAGCTATTCTCTTTCTAAAAACACGTCAGAGGTTCCAGGAAAGGTGTAGGCGGGTCCACGGTGGCCCCAGGCACCACGCTGGGGACCCCTGCTCTAACTACTACACCACACTGGTTCTCAGCGATGGACCAACGCAAAGGGAAAGCAGCCTATTTTTTTCATTAACAAGGGCCATAATGTTGAGTATATTATGAGACATTTTAGTTGCAGGGTCATTGATCTCTACAAGACCCTTTTGGCTATTCCTCTCTCTTCTTCTTGGCTGGCTGGCTGGTTCTCACCTGCTCCCTAAAAAATAATGTTGAGTATATTATGAGACATTTTAGTTGTAGGGTCATTGATCTCTACAAGACCCCTTTGGCTATTGCTCTCTCTTCTTCTTGGCTGGCTGGTTCTCACCTGCTCCCTAGAAAATAGATACACTCATGATTTTCCCAGTGAGTTACTGACAGGTTGGCCTCTCTGGGCTGTCAGAACTTTGTATTCTGTGCTTAATCTTGATTGAGATGTGCTTTGAGAGAGTCAGTTTGCCCTAGAAAGGAAGAGAGAACGAAACCGAAGGGCCGGAAGCGCAAGACACAGGAGAGGTTACTGCTTATGGTGAGAGGTCACAAGCTTACGTGGTAGGACGCTCTTTCTTCCCGATCCATGGGCCGCGTCACGTACATTCTCCCCGAGATGGGGTCAATGTTGAAGACCTCCATGGGTGGCTGGTCAGCCCCCACTCCGGTGATGCTGTATCGTATGTGAATCTCGCTGTCCTTATCTGAACGGATCTGAATAAAACATTAAAGAGAACAATGAGTCAGTAGGGATGCAGGACGGGAGCATGGACGGAGACTTGAAACACGTTTTCAAACAGGCCTTTGCGATAGGAGGGGGGGGAAGCATGGGTCTCTTCTGCATTTTCATTTTCATTGCTTATTTGTCCTTATTGCTTTGGTTCTCCCCCCCCCTTTTCTCCATGCGTTTTGCTCCCTCTAGTGGTCGATATTCTGTGCTTAATCTTGATTGAGATGTGCTTTGAGAGAGTCAGTTTGCCCTAGAAAGGAAGAGAGAACGAAACCGAAGGGCCGGAAGCGCAAGACACAGGAGAGGTTACTGCTTATGGTGAGAGGTCACAAGCTTACGTGGTAGGACGCTCTTTCTTCCCGATCCATGGGCCGCGTCACGTACATTCTCCCCGAGATGGGGTCAATGTTGAAGACCTCCATGGGTGGCTGGTCAGCCCCCACTCCGGTGATGCTGTATCGTATGTGAATCTCGCTGTCCTTATCTGAACGGATCTGAATAAAACATTAAAGAGAACAATGAGTCAGTAGGGATGCAGGAGGGGAGTGTGGACGGAGACTTGAAACACGTATTCAAACAGGCCTTTGCGATAGGAGAGGGGGGAAGCATGGGTCTTTTCTGCATTTTCATTTTCATTGCTTATTTGTCCTTATTGCTTTGGTTCTCCCCCCCCCTTTTCTCCATGCGTTTTGCTCCCTCTAGTGGTCGATTCGATATTACATCACTGTATGTCTGGCATAAAATCCTGCAGTTTAAGTCTGCAGGGAGACACGCTGGAAATGCAGAGATGTAATACCAAATCAACCAGCAGAGGGAGCAAAACATATGCGGAAAAGGGGGGGAAAGTGCAACAGGGACACAGAAGGGATGAAAATGAGAATGTAGACGAGCCCATGACCCACTGTTCATTTTACACAGATTGCATTTATTTAGTTATTTAAACATTGCTACCCTGACTTTCCCTGGTTAAAATAAGGTGGATTTAGGCAAAAGGATGACCTGACAACCCATTCGAATGGGGCCATTAAATGTCCAGCAGCACCTTTAAAGAGCAATAACATTTATTTTGGCACGTGGGGAGGGACCATGGCTCCATGTCAGAGCATCTGTTTGGCATGCAGAAGGTCCCAGGTTCAATCCTTGGCATCTCCAGGTGGAAAGGAGCAGGAAGCAGGTGATGTGAAAGACCTCAGCCCGAAACCCTGGAGAGCTGCTGCTCATTTGAGTAGAGAGTACTCATGTGTTCATAACATCAACAGAGGTGTGGATTTGACCACTTTGCCAGGTTTCATTAATCAGTTCTCACATCTTCAGCTGTATATCTTATTCAGACGTACATCTTACACATCTGTGTGAGCTCGGGCTCACGGAAGCTCATGCCGAAATAAATGCTCTCAGTCTTTACGGTTCCACTGGACTCCTGTTTTATTTTACTATGACGCCCTACCCCCCCAAATCACATGTAGGCACCCTTCCCTTCACATGAGCAGCACATACAGACTGTGTACACCAACCAAAAGTGCAGACTATGCACGCATGAACAGAAATTGTGGGGAGAACCGTGAATTCCCAGCTCTCAAGCAATGTAACCTACACCAATTCCCAGCAGATCCCACAAGCACAAGGAAGAATCCAGAGGCGCTCTATACAACCTCACGAGTCCTTAAATCGAACAATGACCACAGATAATAATTATTTATTTAATTAATTGATACTCCCACACATTTCACCTCAATGGAGATGCAAGGTGGCTCACATAGAATCATAGAGTTGGAAGGGACCTCCAGGGTCATCTAGTCTAACCCCATGCACAATGCGGGCAATTCTCTGCTTCTCCATTCTATCTTCATAACGACCCTGTGAGGCTCTGGAACTCTCTCCCTGGGGAGATTTGCCCGCTTTCTTCTGTTGCTGTCTTTCACCAGTGGGTAAGAACTTTTTTTGTTGTTTTCTGACGGTGAGGGGGCGGCTGATTATTTCTGCCCTTATGCCTCATCTGCCCCCCCTTTCCGAAATAGCCTTCAATAGCCCCTCAATGATCTCTCCTTCCAAACCAATGTTTTTTTATATATTGCATTATTTGGCACAAGTGGGGATTCGAACCCAGGTCTCCTGGCACTCTTAACCACGACATTACACGGACTCTCAATGTTTATGCCACAGTACGTGTTGCGTTCCCTGGAAGGCCAGATAATGAAACTGAAGCTCAAATACTTTGGCCACCAAGTGAGAAGGGAGCACTCACTGGAGAAGACCCTGATGCTGGGAAAGACTGAAGGTCAAAGAAGACGGGGACAGCAAAGGATGAGATGGTTAGACAGTGTCATAGATGCAATGAACATAAAATTGAGCCAACTTCAGAGGACGGCGGAAGACAGGAGGGCCTGATGGGAGCTGGTCCATGGGGTCGCGAAGAGTCGGACTCGACTGTGCGACTGAACAACAACAACAATGTATTGTGTTCAGACTCAGAGAACAAAACCATTTTTCTTTTGTATAAAATGGATAGGTTGACGATGCGTTCAGAGATGATAATACCTGATGACGTGCTATTAATAAACCGGCGAGAGTTGTCTTAAATTGGGTACCAAATCCACCCTTACCCACCAAGCCCACAGGTTTGTCACAGGAAAGATCTGCGCAGAAGATGTCGTTCGCATTCCCAGCGTCACCGAGCAAAGAATTCAGCAGGTTCACACGTAGCTGTGGCAACCTGGAGATCTTTTCGCTCGGCAATGGGAAGTTAATTTTTCTGAACAGCAGTTTAAAGGAGTTTTTTTCCTAATGGCAAGGCTATTTCGGAAAGGGGGGGGCAGATGAGGCACAAGGGCAGAAATAATCAGCCGCCCCCTCACCGTCAGAAAACTGTCTGTCAAGTGTCATGATGACAAACAAATGCTCTCTTTTAACCCACCCGCTTTATGGAAGGAAAAGGGGGGAGAAATTACAGGGGAGATAAAAGGAACGTGCCTGGTAGCGAGGAACATTTAAACTTTTGCGATGACATGCCAGCTGCTCTTCGCAGGAAGCCAGAACACCCTGATAATGATGTGCTGTGTGTGCACAAGGCACAAAGAGATGAGGGCGTTAATAAAAAAAGAAGAAGAAGGAAGAAGCCAGCAAACAAACCTGTTCTCCTTGTGGGAGTGAGCGAGTCGGCATGCCTGGCCACTGGGGGGCGCTACATCGCTCCAAGTGTATATGGGTGTTATCTCCTTGAATGGGATGCCTCTCTTTGTCTTAACCTGGGAGCTGCCCTCTGACCCCTCCTCTCTATCTCCTTTGTCCTCTCATACGCTTCACATGGCCTTCCATGGAGACCAATGTCTCCGCAGGTCTCTCCTGTGGACGCAATGCCCTCATACTCCCACACACATGATGCCGGACAAGCTGGCTGTTTGTAACCAGGAAAGGACTCTTTAGATTAGGCTTCTTTCTCTTCCTTCGACTGCAACCTGAATGTGAACTGGATCTACTTGAATAAATGTAAGTTTACCCCCCCCTTTTTTTTGGCAATATACTTCTTGGGAAATTTATGTATTGCACTCAGTACCACGCTTTTATGACTGGGCAAAACTCTGCTATATATTAGCCAAATATCCCAATGCTCCTCCAGATGAACAAAAAGTGGCTCCTCAAGGGGAAACTGAGGGCATGCTTGTCCTTTGGAGGAAAGATGGGCAGAGAGAGGGGGGCATCTTTTTTCACTTGTCTTATGAGACTGGAAAAGTTTACACACACACACACCCCACACAGATTCGGCTGACAAGACATCCTTTTTGTGGATGAATCATCTGCCTTTTACCTATTAAACAATACAATAATCAACAGATTTCTATATAATAGGGATGAGCTGATTTCATTTCGTTCCTTTACGGTTCTCAAATTGTATTCGATGCTGGATTCTGCTGCTTATTGTCAGCTTCACAAGGAGAATGTCTAAGCTTAAATTTGAACATGCACACACTTTTGCCACAGCTCTGAGCTAGGTCAGTCTCATCCACTCTCAGAAGCTAAGCAGGGTCAGCCCTGGCTGACAAGTACTTGGAGGGGAAACCTCCAAGGAATACCAGGGTTGTGATGTGGAGGGAGGCAATGGCAAACCATCTCTGAAGTCTCTTGCCTTGAAAACCCTATGGGGGTCACTATGAGTCAGATGAGACTCGTCGGCACTTTCCACCACCATCCAATGTTCCCTCTAAGCTGCGGGGTCCCATGAGCTGAAATTCTACTCTGTGAGCCAAAAGACCTACTAGGGCCCGTTCACACGCCGAATGTGCCGCGGGAGAGCCACGATTGAATGATGGAGTTTCCGGGTGCAATCACACCGCAACATCTGGCAAGTGGCGCGCACCAAAGTATTTGAGCTTCAGTTTCATTATCTGGCCTTCCAGGGAACAGTCAGGGTTGATTTCTTTTAGGATTGACTGATTTGATCTCCTTGCAGTCCAAGGGACTCTCAAGTCTTCTCCAGCACCATAGTTCAAAAGAATCTATTCTTCGGCGCTTGGCCTTCCTTATAGTCCAACGTGTGGGGTTATTTTTGAACAAAACTATATTTATTTTCAGGTTTCTTGTCTTCTGGCACACCCAGCCCCTAGAGGTTTTGGGTGGGTAACGTAAGTAAACTGAATGTGACTTGACTCTGTCTTCTTATATTTACCGTTTACGTTTAAAACAATAGTCGCAGGGGAAGACAAGTTGTGTGTTGGTAAGTAGGGTCAGGATAGACATTTGATAATGAGATGGAAAGCAATGTTCCCTCTAAGCTGCAGTGTCTTGTGAGCCAAAAGGATTAAAGTTGTGAGCGAGCCAACATTAAAAAAAACAGAGGAAGGAAGGAGAGGTGGAAAGAAAGCAAATAGATGGGGAGAGAGGAGTGGAAGGAAGGAAGGGAGGGAGGGAGAAGAGGAGACGTGGAAATAAAGTCAATAGATGGGGAAGGAGGGAGGAAGGAGGGAGAAGGGAGGGAGGGAGGGAGGGGAGAGTTGGAAAGAAAGCAAATAGACGGGGAGAGAAGAGTGGAAGGGAGGAAGGAAGATAAAGAGACAAAAAAGGTGAGGGCTTCTAGTGGGAGGGCAAAAGGGAGGGCTTCTAGTGTCCTGGCTTCTCTCTCTGCATGTCTTATCTGTCCAGGCTGTCTTTTGAAACTGATCTCAACTTTTCTCAGCATAAGATTTAGTCTCACCACTTATGGTTGCAAACTGTCTTGGGAAACTCCTGGAGATTTGGGGGAGGGAGAATTGCTAACTCCTGCTTGGGAAATTCCTGCAGATTTGAGGGCAGTGCTTGGGGAAGGTGGCATTTGAGGGGGAAGGGAACGCAGAGAGGATGTGAGGTCATTTCAAGCACTGTTTCTCCTCAACTCTATAGTATACCATAGAGTCCACCCTCCAAAGCTGCAAGTTCCTCCAGGGAAACTGATCTCTGTTATCCGGGGATCAGACGTAATTCCGGGAGATCTCCAGCTGCCACCAACCATAAGGGGAGGTGTCCGGAGAGGGCGGGGCTTAGGGAAGGGAGGGAACTCAGCAGAATATAATGCTGAGATGCCAGCCACTTTTGAGCAGGAAGCCATACCGTTAGGGTTGCCAACCTATAGGTGGAACTTGGAGATCTCCTGCTATGACAATTGATCTCCAGACGACCAAGAACAGTTCCCCTGTAGAACATAGCAAGAGTCCAGTAGCACCTTAAAGACTAACAACGATTTGTGGCAGGAGATGGGCTTTCGTGTATCACTGCTCGCTTCTTCAGATACAGCTAGAATGGGAGTCCATCTGTCCTATTTATTGGAAAGTGGAGGGATTTCAGATGCCAAATGAAATTAGCAAGGAAATGACAATTGCAGGTGTGATTGGATTTAGATGAGATATGCAGAGGGGAAACAGGGGTGGATAAGTCAGCCTTGGTAAAGAGACCAGGAAACCTAGGTCTCTATTCAGTCCAGGTGGATATATTGCCTTGAGCTTTATTATCAATCACAATTCAGCAGTTTGTAGAAAATGGCTGCTTTTGAGGGTGGACTCTATGGCATTATCCCATCTCCTCTCCCTAAACCCTGCTTTCCCTAAGCTCAACCCCCACAAATCTCCAGGTATTTCCCTACCCAGAACTGGCAATTCCATATACAGTCTACCCTTTGAAACTGCCATTTTCTCCATTGGAACTGATCTCTTTAGTATGGAGAGCGGCTGTGATTCCAAGAGCGCTCCAGGCCCCACCTGAAGGCTGGTAACTGTATCTCAGACAGACACATTGGCCTAATCCTGCAAAGAAGCATATCCTCCTGTCCTCCTGAGAGGTCGTGCACGAAGGCGGTGACACACTTTTCTCCTCAGCTCCCAAGGAACTGCACCTATTAAAATTAGTGCTTGCTGTGACCTTTTAAGAGTTCATTTTGTGTGTTATGTTATTTTAAAAAATACCGTAATTATTAATGGTAATAAGAACAGAGTCGTTATGCTATAAAATGTACTTTATTACCAGGCTCTCCGTTCACTTGGCCATTACAGGGGCTAAATTGAAAATAACCAAGGCTGGTTCGTTCTCACGCGTTGAGTGTTTAATGAAAATCAAACAATGCAAACACATTCAAATCCTTTAAATTCAAACACTTAAGAGTCTATTTAAGCATGTCGACTCCGGCTCATTAAATATAGTGGAAGTATTTTTACGCTCGTTGAGATCCCTAACAAAGAGATATGTTTAAAGACTCTTTCGTGCAAAATGTTCTCCAATACAGTTTTGTGAACACGTTTCCAGATTAGCCAAATGAGAGATTTCAAACACTGTCGTATCCTCGCATCCACCCCCAAGTACATCTTTTCATTTCGGCATGCATGCTCGGAAGTCAAATAGCCAGAGCCTAATTGCCCGACTCAAATGTAGAAAATTAATCATGATACAAAATTATATTTATTTATTTCTGTTTCCGGTTGAAACACATTTCTGATGAATGCGCCTTCCACCCCCAGATGTTTCAGGTGGAGTTGGACACACAGGACAGAGAAGTGTATTTATTTTAATTCTTAAGGCAAGCCTGCCACCACCTTCCATCCCATAAGAACACACAGATCAATTTGCAAGCGTAACTAAAATAAATACTTGTGGGAACTGAAAGCATCATACATTTACAAACAACAACAGAAGAACGAGAACAGGGGTCCCCAATGTGTCGCCTGAGGGGGGGCATTGTGCCCGCTGCTGCCTTTCCTGGGGCCCGCCAAGCATTTTGAGAAAGTGGGCGGGGTCAGGATCAGCAATGCTGATTCTGTGAACTTAGCTAGATGATGAGAAGGGAGGGGCAGGGAGGGTTGCATCAGTGCTTGGTTCTCGTGGCCCTTTCTTACACTCCCAGGGAAATGCTGATCGCCACTTTAGGGTCAGGAAGCAATTTTCTCCAAGCTAGTTTGGCCGGGGATCTTGGAGATTTTTGCCATCTTCTGGGCATGTAGCAGGGGTCACTGGGTGTGTGTGTGGGGGGGGAGGTATTCGTGAATTTTCTGCATTGTGCAGGGGGTTGGACTAGATGACCCCGGAGGTCCCTTCCAACTCTATGATTCTATGATTCTAGGTGAGGCTTTGCCCAGTAAGGCTCCTGAACAGCCCTTGGAGATTATGGGGGGTATTTTTTTATATGTCCATGTGTGTGTGTGTGCACCTGGAAGGTGGCAACCTCTGGTGACTGACTCCTACTGGGGGCCTGGAGGCTATTCAGAGAGGTGGTTGAATAAAGCCTGCCCCCGCCTCCCGACTGCTGGTATTCCAAGGAGGTCTCCCATCCAAGTACTTGCCAGAGTCGACCCTGCTTAGATTCCGAGGTCTGACAAGATCGGGCTTGCCTGGGCTATCCAGATCAGGGCCAGCCACTGGAGATTTGAATGGCAGTGTAGATTTTTTTAAAAAAACACTGGTTTGGCAGCCATCACCACAGCACAAAGGTCTTCGCTGTGTGACTGAAGGTAAGCTACAGTAGTAATTTCAGGGCTGGCCGTGCCTCCTGCAGCAGCCATTTTATAGCAGCCATTTTATAGTTCTATCTGATGTTGGGCGGCCAGTCGGGCTCCGACCCAGAAGATCTGAACAGGGCACTACAGGCCGTGGCTGGGTGGCTCAGATTGAGCCGGCTGAAACTAAACCCAGCGAAGACGGAGGTCCTGTGCCTGAGTCGGAGCGGACCGGGGTTGGGGCTCCCTCTCCCGACCTTTGATGGGGCGCCGTTGGTGCCAGCGTTGGAGGTTAGGAGTTTGGGAATGCTCCTGGATCCCTCCTTAACTATGGAGGCCCAGGTGGCAGCCACTGCCAAATCAGCATTTTATCATCTTAGGCTGATTCGGCAGTTGGTTCCCTTCCTCGGCCGCGATGACCTGGCTACAGTGATCCATGCGACGGTCACCTCGAGGTTAGACTACTGTAATGCTCTCTACATGGGGCTGCCTTTGGTGCAGATCCGGA